ATATGGATAGCGTGTATCCATGCACTGATAGAAGAATTAAGTATATTGTATATAATTATAATTAAAGGACTGTGTACTATTTCATAATAATTTAATAATAAACTTAAAAATATTTTCTTAGTATTCAGCTTGATCTCTATTCCAGAGAAATAATTCATCAAGTGTCCATTTCTAAACTTCAGCATTTTGTAAGACATACCGTTTCTTCTAATCAGTGCTCGGATTAAACTCGTGAATGATCGAAAACATTTATAGAAGAAAAATCTGAGAAAACAGACAATTACGAAACATTGTGCGGTAAACCACATTCTTTGGACGCAATGGACATCTTGTAACGCGATATTAAACGAGTTTGCGGCGAACGTAAGGCACACGTGAAAGAGAGACAAGTTACTGCGGTCAACGATCCGTTATTAGTTATTACCTATCACTCCGTAGCTCTGGTGGCTACGATTAATTGTTGCCGTCTAATTGACAAAGTTCTCAGGCTTAGACGTCACATTCTCGGCGCACATCACGCCGCGACGTGGCAGTCCCGCTCTCTTTATTTTTGCTACGACTTGGAGGAAAAAATGCGCGAGTTCCTGCTTCGTTATCAAGATTTCGCTTGGGGATTGTATCCGAAACGAGCTCAAATCGGTGATCGGAGAAAGAGTCAACTCAACGAAACCGCGTTAGATTTATCGAGGTTCTCTATGATTATATCTACCGTTAAACATTTTATCATTCTCCTGGACATGCTCGATAGGGAAAGGAAAACTCCTTGGTGCGCGGATATCGATTTACGAAACCTTAGCGATAAAAGATGCGATTTGTTTTGGGCGTAAATTAATTTGACGTTTTGTAAGACATATACAATAAAATAATGATATAACATGGCAAAAATAAAACGTTTGTCGTATGCGTAGAATTCTTAATTTTCTTTCTTGACAAAATTGTGAAGAAAGATTATGATAAAAGGGTTTTTTTAAATATTTTCATTTTTTTTAGAAATAAATTGACAACAAATTGATTCGTGTTAATTCTTTGATTATTTCTCTATTAATATTAATTCTTATAGAAAATAAAATAATTAAACATGATACGACGAATACGATTACATTATGTTGTGTTGCGTATGGCATTCAATTTTCGTACGTACCTCAACACTATGGAAGGTACGAATACAAATACAGGGAAAGTGGGATGTCGTGGCCACGCATTCTGTCGCGCGGGTCATGGGGTAATTAACCTGGCTCGACGATATCTTTAATTCGTTTGCATCGCGTGACAGATTCTCGGAGACTCATTACGTGATTATTAGTTATTTCCTCGCTGATTTTTTACAAAACGTGGTTCCGCAACTAGCAATCGTGGGTGTAAGTAATTGGAGCATATCAAATTAATGTTAAGAGAAAATGCGAAATTTGCCTTCAGTATCTTAGATATTTAATTTCTTCAAGAAATTGTCTCCAATATCTTAAATACCGAGAAATTTAATCCATATTCCAACTTAGTCTTATTGTACAATTATATTACATAACTATTTTCAAGAGATATTATTAGCATATCTTTTTATTTGATAAAGAAATGATAGCTGAAGTGTAATTAACGTGCTATAAATATACGGTTGACATTTCAGACGTTAGATACTTGGTACATTAATTGTAGCTTGTAAAAGTGTCCATGAAAAATTGTTACGATCATATAAGTTTCAATTATGTAATTCTTTTCATTGCCTTATAATTTCGTACTTTTGAACAAATTCCAATGCATCGTAAATTGACAACGGAATATTACGTGAAAAAGAACTGGATATTTTTCATGCATGCAAAAATTAATTAAAAAATTTTAATAAAACATAAAAGCTCCTTTTTCATCTGAGACCGGAAACAGTTTCGGTCGATCGCGTCAGCGTTTGTCTTAAGTTTTTACTACCCCTATTTCTTTCAAGGGTGCCGTTTAAGCTGGTCGTTTCTGCCCTCGAAAGATTTCGACACGAAGACAACCCCGCGTAGTAGGTAAACGCGCACGCATTGCGGACGACAGCTGTCAAATAAATGTTAAAAAAAGCGCTAGCCGAGCGAAATTTCAAGTGGGACGTGAGGAAGAAGGGTGCGTGCCCACCCCTAGTGAAATACCCTTAGCCCGCGGGGCAAAAGGCTCTGCACAATTTTTCCAGAGTTCGTTCTCCCTGCAGCGGGCGGTCGATAAGTCACCACTAGACTAAACTTCGCGGCAAGGTCGTCGGCCTTGTCTCAAAAATTCGCGTTTGACAAATTTTTTTTCTACATTATCATTCAAATAAAATTATGTAAAAGCGTGTCTCTTATTCTTCTTCCACGGTGAGAAAATTTTATACTAATCTTGGTTGTCACGTGTTAATCAAATAGACCGCTTACTTGAGACAACGATTTATGTTTTCATAATTTTTATTTTGTACAAATTATTGAAGAAAATAATAAATTAATTTGTTAATTAAATTAAAAATTATATTTCATATCATCGATGTAATGTACATATATTGCTCCTTTTTTTCGCGCACAAATAAATATCAAATTGAATTAGATATATCAGACTTCATAAAGCAGAATATCGAATAGACTTCTAAACTGTGATAATTAATTCGTGTCAATAAGATCGTTTCTGATTTGTAAACCTGACACGCGTTCAAATTTTTGAAATAAAAGCGTCAGGACGCTTCGTTACGTTTATTCCGCGGCGTGGAATGCGTTTCATCTTTCTGAATTTAACGAAGTAACGAAAGCTAAAAGTCCCTCGACAGAGTCTTGTGGCGCTAGATACTAAGGAAGGGTGGCGACACAGCGCTGAGGGGCAAATTTTCGAGGGTGGTTTCGCGCGTCAATGGTTTATTAAGAAGCACTTGTTTAAAGGCAGCCCCTTTCAGATCCGACAGCCAATTCGACCACGACGTTTGTGTCACTCGGATATATAAATGGATAGAACGGGCGGAGGTGGCTGACTGGTTCGCTTCGGGCTGCGCGCGGGCGGAGGACGGTCGAATCCACCCCACAGCAATCCGTCGTGTCGCCGTAATTGAAGTTATTGCAATATTGTGTCCTGTCAGCCTCGCTATCCTCCTATCGTCCTATTTCTCTCCATCTCGCGCGATTTGCTTTTCCACCTTCATTGTCTTGGCTATGGTGTCAAGTTTGCCAGATCGCATAACGCGTCGTGAATAATAACTTAAATTAATTTTTCTGTCGCTTCGCAAATGTGGCTTTAATAGACTGTAATTGACTCATTCAAATACTTTTGAAATTTGGACGGTATGTTAAAGAGAATTAAAAAATTCTCAAAGAAAGGGTTCACTTCATGTCACTGATATGTGATATTATCACATATTTATTATCATATTTTAATTATCATGAAATTCAAGCAGTTATCAAATCATTGTGATCCAATCTTGTGAATTGTTGCAACAGTTTTAGTGCATTTGTTGCTTCAGATTTTATCGCTGCAAATTTGCGATATCGCGTATTATCATCAGAAATCACAGAACGAAAGTTCTTTTCGAGAATGCTTTCAGTGCAAGTGCCTAAGGCAAAGTTAACTTTATCCTCGCTTAATCGCCTTTTCGATAGGTACGAGCCGATCCCTTTGTTCAGACAATATCTCCACACGCTACCCCCGCTAATGTATGCACCTCCATCTCACCCTCCGATCCTCGCGATGACTCCGGTACTCCTAACCCTATAGCCGCCACCACCCCATACAGAAAGCGACGGAGACGAGGGAGAGACCTCATACTCGTTCGCCTTTATTGAATTTTGGGACCGTTCCAGTTGGAGAAGAGAAGTACCGCGAGAGAGGAAACGAGAGACGCTGTGCACGCGCGAGGAGAGACGGAGAGGGAAAAAGGGCTCTGGGATGGCCTGTGGGGTGCGAGCCAGAATTAATTCACATCCCGCTGCATTGCTTTTTACGATATAACTGCGGTTTGTTAGTCGTTATTCACGGTACGAATTCAATTTCGTGTCCGGCTCGCCAGCTAGACACAGAAGCGGCAAGCCTTCCGATGCTCTCTCATGTTCTGCGAGAAACTTGCATTCGCCACATGTAATAATAAGCATCAATGAAAAGAAAATGAAAATGTTCTGAAAACTTAAGTTTCAATAACGAATGGGATTATTATAAATAATTATGTTCATAAAGAAAAAGATTTCGAAATATATGAATTTGGAAAGTGTAAATTTTTTTGATAGTTCATACATAAAAAATATTTAACATAAAAATGTTTTTATAAATAGACTATTCAACAAGCTTTCATGAATGACATAATTTAAATATCGATTCTAAATTTTATTTTAAACAAACTATAATTACAAAACAAACTTTAAACAAAATATAATTTTTTGATGTATATCTTGTAACGATTTATGACATATCGATTGTTTGGGAAAATATGTGAGAAGTTCTCGATCGTAAGACATATTCCGGTTAACACGTGGTCCTGTGCGCCACGTGGGAGCCGTGAGTGAAAAATCGAGTGGCGGCAAGCGCGTTACCCATTTCACGTTACGTTAAATTGCTCGTTGGAACGCTGGCGAATGCTTTTCGACCGGTTACGGATGGTGCGATAAAGCACACCGACTAACGCGAGATACGACCAATTAGCTTGTGTGCCAAGTATACGATTTAAGCCGGGTTGGCGGAACCCCGGAGGCATTGCCAAACGACGATTTAAGCCGACATCTTGTGGCAAAGAATGGGATATATCGCATGTGTATATATTATCTGTCTCAGATAACGATCTATGGTATCATTTATCTATCCTGCATCTTAAAGAGTTATTTCTTTATTTTATCTTAATTTTTCTGTAATAAGGTAAAGACTAAATTTGTAGAATGGTATAATGATTTAAAAATTTTTTCATAAATGTTGAATGGTAAATCTTGTTTTATCATTGGGGAATAATTTTATTTAATAATCTTTTTATGCTTGTAGTTGTTTCAATAAACTACGATTACAGAATAATTATAAATAAGTAACACTCTTACCTCACGTGATCATTATCGGTGTCGAAGCAATGTCTTCTTAGACTTTTTTCTATCCTTTTTTATCCTCTTCTTTCTCCTCTTTTTCTATCCTAAGAATCGTCTACCATTTCTCCTTTTCTACATCCCTTCCAATCACAGTTGACATCCCCACCACCCATCATAGAAATCCCTGCGGTCAGGAAGGGAAGGGGCACGGACTACCACGTGAGCCATGTGACCGCACGAGACACGCAACGATATACTGTCACACGCGATGCGTCCAGCCACTTTCTTTCGTTTACCGTCCCGCCATTTTATCTCGATCCACTCGATTCACGATATCTCCTCTTCGTTGAATCTCCGCTCTTTTGTTTCCTTTTCTTCGTATCCCATGGAAAACGAACGGCGAACACGTGTAGCGAATTTCCTCCGCTCTTTGACCTCTGTCTCCCTCTCTACCTCTCTGTATTTTTTTTATTTCTCTCCCCCCTCTCTCGTTGTTCTCGCGGCTGCTGCCGAGAAGCGTGCTTTGCCAGCGACTACTATCTGCCGCGTAGCGAGTCGACCGCGGGACTTTGGTATACTGGGAGTATGGTAAGTAGATACACCCCTGCCACCGCCACCCCCTCCCCCCGTCCCCTCAGGGAACCCATGCGTTCCCCCGCTGCCTCCCGCCAGGCCCCGCCGTCGGCCTCCCCCGTTCACCGATCTCCCGCCGTCGCAGTTGCTACCGCGTTGTCCTCTCACCACTCTCCTATCCGGCGAACCGTGCTTTGCCGCCCCTCTTGCACCGCCTCCACGTTTTGCTCGCGAGGCTCCAGGGACGTATCAACCGTCGATTTATCGGAATTCCGCTTTTTTATGAACCTACTAGGCAAACCTCGATATCTCGTAACGACAACCCCGTTGCATCTCGAACAAATCGACCTACCCTTAACTTATAGGATATAAAGATATCGCGTCAATACTAACGTTCTAGAATATATTTTGATGCTCACCATACACACACAATCTGACATTTTTAATAAATTTATAAATGATAACAAAATAAATAATAAGTAATAATACAATCAACTATCTTGAACTTTCTGATCAAACACTTTATCGTCTAATGTCACTTGAGACATTTAAGTTTTTATAATGCCGTGTAGTATGTAATCTTCATGGATATATATTTATACGTGCAACGTACATTCTTCATCTTCAGTTAGACAATGAGAAACATAGATAGAGAAGATTCCACAAGGTATCACTGGTATTACCAAAGTAACATCGATCAATTTTTTTGGCATCGATAAACAGCTGAATTCGGGTACGATGAGGGAAGGCGCACGGCCCTGAACGATCGCCACCACTACCGTGCATTGGCAAACGTATAAAAGACAGCGTTTGCATGCTAACATATCTATTATAATGGCGACGTTGTACCTCTTCCTCACACACGCTACTACGCACGCTCCGTCGTCGTCGCACTTACGTTCTCCTCCCTCTCGCTCGTTTCTCCGCGATGCATTCCATCTCGCTTCACCGCTCGCATAAATTATCGCTTTCAAATGCAAAAGTATGAATGAGATAAAGTTTCCCGACGCTCGTCTTTCCTCCCGGTGCGATCGCTCTCACTCTCTTCCTTTTTTCCTTACGTCTCTGTGTCACTTATCTTCAAGAACTGATTACATGCATTACCACTAGGTCGATCATAATAGAAACTTATTTTGTACTCTTATATTTATAATACCTTTTATAGTATCTTTTCTTTTTCTAAAGTAAGCCTTCGCATTAAGATCAACATGATATGTTGGCCTTGGACTATAAATGATCTATAAATTGAAATTTAGAGTTCGCATTGTCAGATAGATAACATAATCAAACACTGAAACCCGGATTTTCATTTTCTGATTAATTTATGGTTTAGATTTAACTTGATGGTAACGTAAAAATTATATTTTTCTAGCTATACTTAATCACTAGGTTAATGATTTTGTAGTGATAATTTTCAAAGTTACTATTACAGGACCAGTTTTTACATTATCACAATTAATACAATTTTTACATTATCACCAGATTAAGTCTAACCACAAGTTAACTAGAAAGTGAACCTCTCCCCCCCCATCCGAATTTGAAAAAATGCAACAGATAGCATATTCATTAAAATTTGTTAATGTTCAAAACTGTCAAGTGTTCTTGGAAATATTTAAAAAAAAGCAAGTTTTAATCTAATAGTACACATCCACATAATTTTAGAAAGATTTTAAGTAATTATATAACAAAAAATAACGTATTGCAAAAACGAGATGCGATTGTTGTCATATAAGCTTTAAAGATGTTGAAGTAAAGATGTTTAAAGAAGTGTTCAGGAACTATGCAAGTAAATAAAAGCCAACGCATGCTGTTCTAATAGATATGCCAGCGGCGTTCCATAATCTGGATCTCCCTCTACGATATCCATTTATAGAATAATAATAATAATTCCGGAGCCAACGAGGTTCCGCTAATGTCGTCACGTTAGATAGTTACAGTCATCCGGTCCCGTAATAAAAGGGTTGATGTGTGCACGTCATCCGCACCGGAGACTAATCCCTTCGTCCAAGATTCGTCATAAGCCACGGATCGATGAGGCGTAGCACAGTTTCTCGCTAAACAATCGTTGCTCATTCTCGAGTTATTTAAATCAACGACGAAATAAAATTTCAAAAAATTGTGCCGGCTGATAAGTTATCGCGTTTAATTGACATTTCCTTACGCAGGAAGGTAGTTACGAGCAACAAAAGATAACACTTCTGTCGACATACGCACGTCCGTTTATGTTAATCAGGCAATGTGACGTCACTGACAACCCTAGCGACGCGTAATATCAACCCCTAACTTCGTCGCAAGCAACAAAACGTGCACGCAGAGCGTATCACGGTCCCGCCGTAACGATCCCTCTCTCCACCGACTCCGCTTTCCTCCTGTACACCCTTTGTCGACGTTAACCCAAAGTGAATGGTCCTACACCGCCCGTTGCAGCATGGGTTTTAACTTCGGGGTGACTTACTCCGAGCGTTATCTATTTTGACAGCGCGGTACGCTCGCGGTCTGTCGTGGGGTCGTCGTAGAGGGGTGTCGCGGTAATTGTGTTTTAACTACGCTCTACATCGTCGCGATAGCCCGTTGTCCATTGTTCCAAACTGTCGTAAAATATTCTTTGACGCGCGTTGTTGCGCCATTAGGAAATTACTAAAATAGCCTGGTATTTTCCGAGAAATAACTCCTATGTATATTGGAAAACACTGCATAATTTTGCATCGCAATAACTAAATCACTTTGAGATAATAAAGAATGATAGGTCATCCATTTTATTTCATTACGATACTGTCGTTTCTGCGCCAGAATGCCTAACTTGCAAATTAACGATAAACAGCATACGCGATACTTATATGCCAACCGCCATTTGCGTCGATTTTATAAAACTACGGTGTGTAAGCTATATAGAAAGCTATATGGGCGGATCCTATACAATATGGCATTCAATTTGCGACGGATTCGCTGTCTGGCAACGCAAACAACCGCTATTGGGTTTCATTTAATGAACCGAGCCAGAACCTTCGGAAGCATTTTTGTGCTGTGGGCTCGGCTTAAATTGAACGTCCTCCCCTTTCTCTTTCATCCGTTGCCTATCTTCGCTCATTTTATATCTACTTCCTGCGACTTACGCCTCGATCTGATACAGGAAGCTGCTACCATTTTATCGACAGTTAAGACGTGTTTGTAGAATTAAATTATGATGTAGAAGATCAAAGTAATAAGCGAAGAAAAAATTAATTCTGGCTTTAATATGAGACGCTTTTTTCAGGAGGATTATTTTATCCTTTTTTTTCTTTTTTTTTATCGCGAGTAAAGTCGATTATTTTTCGACAGGTTGCGTTTCTACAAACACACACCAGACCGAACACACCAAGAAAATTCAAGCCTCGTTAAAAATATTACGGCTTATAAGACAATCCTCTTAAAAGTGCTACGGGGTGTGGAAGTGCGGATGGGGGAGTGTCGAGGGGGCAGGGACAGGGGGATAGAGCAGGAAGGGAGTGAGAAGCCGGCACCGGTATCGGCGCCGTATCGTTCCACCGTGCAAGTGTCCGGTAAGGTAAGCGGATCCACGATAATCCGGATTACGTATTTGCCCGGTTCTCTGCCTCCTGCCATCTCGATCTCACGCCAGTCGGAGAGCCAAAGACGTATTTGCCTCGTGGCATCGCACCGTCTGCCGTTTGTAATCTGTTTAACGCTTTACGAATGGCAGCCGGTCGTTTCGCGAAGCCACGAAAACGCATGTAGCGTATCGACCGTGTACGTGGGTATATCATTATCACGACGTATATAACTGCGGTTGTAATAAAAACACTAGGAATATTTTGATTTCTCTTTCGTTGATTATGAGACTCTCTTGGACACGTGTAGCTTGCGGTTATTATAAAACGTATGTTCTTGGCTCAAGGAATGATTTATTATAGATATCTCGGTGAAATTGTCGTAATTGTAACGTTTATATCGTTGTAATTTTTATGTTTGAGAAAAAAAGGACTATAAGAAAGGATTATAAGGGATTATAATTTGGAAATTGTACTTACTATATTCTGCAGTCACTTAAGTGTTGTGCAAATAACAGAATAAAATTCAAATATATAATATATATATTATATATATCAAGATATATAAGAAAATTATTTATTTACGATTACAATTAAAAATTTTTATGTGTAGAATTTAAAATACTTTAGTGTCTTGCATAAACGTAAAATTTAAATATTCTGTGCTCTTGTTCACCATGTTCTTGTTTCTGTTAAATGGCGTATTGGCGCATTGGCGCACGACTACAAAGAGAAACGTAATTTTTAACCGGACTGCACATTCATGTCCCTTCTTCGCGGGGTCTCAACATCGATCGGTTGCGATCTTTAAACAGCGCCATTAACGATTGCGTGCACAGGCTGAGGGGGTCGCGATCAAATGAATATGATGAAAGAGTGGCGGCATTAGGCGAACGTGCCGTGCATACTGATTTGCGGCTGATTGATTGGACCCCTTTCCACTCGACAACGCTGCGCCACCGCGGCTCGACCCCCGCCCCCTCGATTCCACCCCATGAGTGAACCAACATCGTTGATAATATCAAACGAACGGCTGGTGTTCGGGAACGTCGATGACGAATAGAAATTAATAATCGTAAAATAAAACTGTCGGACGTATTAGTTTTTAATAAAAAAAAATATTACCAGAAGAACTTTTTATCCTTAATTATTTTATTACTTAAAATTGGATGTTAATTTCTCAGATATTCTGACATAGTATACCACAAAATAAAGTATTGTGCTAATAGAAATAGTGCATCATCAAAGTAAAGCGAAGATCATAAAATGCTAATGTTTAAGGAAGCAATCAACAAGCAACCATTTCACGATAACGCTTCATTATCGTGAATGAATCATCCGCGGATGTTAAATCGGAGTCGCTGTCGTTGCCTCGAAGCTGCGTCAGCGTGCGGACTATAATTTTCGAAATTAGTCAAATGGACGCGATGCGCTGCG